TGGCGGCAGACTCAGACCCGTCTTCCGACGGGGGAAAACATGCATTTACTGTTCTTGGGGTTGTCCAAACGACAGCCGGGGGCCATTTGCGGCCCGCCACCCATTTTAAGCGGCCTGCTGTCATGTGAAAAAAAAAACACATTTAGACAAAGAAAGATTAAAACGGCAGTCATCTTATTATTATTTGTTTTTTGTTTTTTTGGCATCGCTTTGGGTGTCATCAGCATATACAAAGGCTTCAAGTATGAAAGTGAATTGGCCAAATCACGGCTGGATTGAGAAAATAATATCCTTGAAAGCTGCTTAACGGTCCGGTCATGTTTCGGTCACCGTTATGTTTTAGCTTCAGTCATGATTTTTGTTTGATGCTTTGGACTATGTCTGTTTTGGATTTAGTTTTCTCTTTGTTTTAATACAATTTGTCAAGTCCACCCTGCTCCTCCCTCTTGCCTGCTTTTTGGGGTCCACCACCACCTCGCAACGTGACACCTGCGACACGACCCCCAAACAACAACAACAAAAAAAGCAGGCAAACCTCATTTCCATTTCCATGTCCCGATTTCTCGTCATTCATTTACCGTTTGACGATTTTGCACCTTTATAACATAAACTAAATAAGGACCATATTTTCACCACCAAAATAGTGAAAAGGCCTTTGCCACGACGAACCGTGGGAAGCTCGCAGCCGCCGCGACCTTGCTTCGGAACAAAATGTACAGCGCGGGATTGCCCTGCGTTGCCTAGCAACACGACAGATTGACCCGGTACGTCCATTGCGGTATTTCCGTCGTCTGAAAACACGTCTGGTCAAGGGAAGCGAATCCCGCTGCCCGTGACGGCGGAACTCGCCGCCCCGGACGAAGCTCAGGCGTGACGTGAATCGATGACGCTTGGCTTTGTCGGCGGAACTCTGACGAGTCACATTTGCCGACTTTGTTTTCAGAGATGCTGAGCCGGATCTGTTCTGTGAGAGGGGGGGTGGGGGGGGGGGCTGTTGGCCGCCCCAAAAGCTTGGAAAAAAATTCCCTCAACGCCTTTTCACAGAAAGCTGATGAAATGAACTCGACAACACAAACAATGTCGAACTGCTTTCTTGAATGAGGCAGCGATTTACGTCAATTCGAGTTGTGAACTTCCTCAACATTTGGCCTTTGAGTCTTAAGCGTTCACGCTGACAACTTCAGAAAATCGGATCAAACAAAAGCAGACGAGAAAAACAAAAAAATGGCCGCATCGCAAGCCGTGGCTTTTTCGCTTCAACTTTGTCGATGAGATGAAGAGACAAAGCGGTCGCGTGAGCGCGGCGAGGAAGCTCAAATGGAGGCGAAGAGGAGAGAGCGCGCAAGACAACCTTGGGCGCATCTTGCCCCGAGTCGCGGGCAGTCCCCGTCAAGCAAGTTCATCTTTCATGCGAAGGAGCGTGTGCGCTTTTGAATCCCCGACTGAGAAGCGATGGGAATGTACAAACGGATTTATGTACTCACAACACGAGCCGACGCACACGCGCCCCAGCGGGGGCCGTGACAGACGTCGCCCGCTGGGGCAACGATTTAGCACGGCGCAGAAGAAGAGGGGAGGCAAAAATAAACAAATAAATCGTTGAAATAAAAAGTGTGGCTCATTTACATCCAAAGCTGGCCAGGGCGGAGGTCCGCCCCTTTCCACGCTCTCACAAATGGCAAAAAAGTAAGCAGAGCTGCGCCGGTTGGCTTTTGTTGGATGCGCAGATGATTTTTTTTTTTTTTTTTTGGGTCTATTTGAAAATATGCAGAGAGCCGGCGTGTCACGTCCAAAGTACACCGAAATCGAAATGAAGGTAACACGACTCTTTTTGGTGGTGGTTTCACCTTTCAACTGGCAATTGAAGAGCAAAAAAATAAAAAATGTCGCTTGAATTGCCATTTTAGTTTTGAATCAAACGATGAAACCAAAATGCCGCATTTGTCAGCTTTCAATTTTGAACACGTTTCTCTCGCATCAATGTTTTGTTTTTTTTTTTTTCTCCCGCCTACGTCGTGATGTCAACGTCGCGCGGGCCAATTGCAAGAGGAGCGACCCCGACCCGTTCGCACGTGTGACTGGTTGCGTCAAAGCGCCAAATCTGTTTGGTGGGTGACCCGCCGACGCGCCCTCGGCTGAGTGACAGGCAGCCCCTATCAATGAGCCGTCAATCATGCCACCGAGCCAACATTGTCTCCGAATGACCTGAATTAGCTCGCCGACATGCCGGGGGCTGAGAGGAGGCGCCCCCGAAACCCCCGCCGGCGGCCCCTCTTGACCTCAAAGGCGGCCCGACCCGGGCCGGCCGGGCCCGTTTCCCTCCCAAATTCCATTTCCGATTGGGCCGCATCCATAATGAATGGCCCGCTCCATTATTGACTGCTCTTTACATCTGCGGGTTTGACTGTTCCGCTTTCTGACTTCCATTACCTGCGCTGCTCTCGACTATTTGCCTCTTCTTTTATTCAGGGCTTTCCTCTCTCTCTCTCTTCCCCGCTGTCAAGCCGAGACAGGAAGGAAGCCGCGGACGCCGGGCGAGCGCCGTCTTCGCATTCACACGCTTGAGCACATTTGCTTGTCGGCCGCGTGCGCCGGATCGTCCCGCGAAACCTTGGCGAGATTCACTTGCAGTCACCTGTCCGGGCACGCCAAATATCAGGCGCGAAACTTTCCCGACTTTTTACAGGGTGCGGCGGGAATTTGAAGCGCACGTTGTGCCGAGCGAGCCAAAAGCAGACATGCCCGCGAGCAATGTCGTCCTCGACGCTTTGCTTGAACGTTGCGCTCTTTCAACATCGAAAGGTCCGTTCTCTTTTCGTGCGATTGAAATTTGAAGTTGTTTGAAAATCAACACTCATTTCTCATGTTTCGCATTAAATTAGCATTAGGCTACATGACTTGGTTTTTACATACACACACACACACACACACACACACATATATAATTTTTTTTTTTTTTTTATGGACACATATGGCTCAAAAGTCTTGGGCACTTATTCAGAGGCCATATTGTGTCGGTTTTGTGCCGCAGAGCTGATTTGACTTTCCATAAGGAGAGAAGACGCAGGCAAAGCATTGAATGCGGATGAAAGGAGAGCCAGGTCCACTCTGCACCCGGCGAGGAGATCTTAAAGGCCGCCTAACGCAGCCTCCATCAAAAGGAAATTTTTTTTTTAAATAATTAAAGAAAAAAAAAAACACAACAAAAAAAGAGGAGCAAGCATTTGTTGTGTTTGCTTCAACTGATGGCCTCCGCACGCGCAGTAAAACCAACAAATGCGTTTTTTTGTTCACCTTGTCTTGTTTTCAAGGGGACATACAGGATGTTGGAAACATAATTTGGATGTTTCAAGAGGAATTCAACCCTTAAAAATGTTCAAGCAAGAGCGCATTGTGCGTGCCAGCACTCGTCAAAACTTTCAGGCTTTGGGGACAATAACGAGCGCGAGCCGGAAGGTCAGAAATATTTGAGGAGGTCTGTTTGGTTAAAAAAAAAAAAAAATGACAGTTTTGTTCCCAACGCTTTACGGCACTGAAGTGCCTGAGCCCTTGGAAAGGCAAGCGCATGCAGAATCATTCCCGCCCTTCGTCAGCAAAACATTGTCTTGATTTCATCGCAATCGTGGCTCAAAGACAAGCGCAACAGTTGGGGAAAAAAAAAACTCAAGGCGGCCGGCCGGCCGGCGCCCACACCGCATGCCGCGCTTTTAATTCGTCACAGCATGATGAAGTTGCCCTTTTTTGAGCGTCCTCAATTTGTGACGACACCTGATTTGGGGGTGGGGGGCTGGGGGGCTTGGCCTCTGACTGGAGCGGCACACTCTCCTGGGTTACGCTCAACTCTTCCCTCCGATGTCCATCCCGCCTCTGGCCTTTCCCTGCAGTCGCCGCCTTGGCCCGGCTGTTCTTCCCGCCCGCGCTCCCCCTCGCCGATCGGCTCTTCGTGTCAGGGCGGCTCCTTCACTCCCTCGTTTTCCATCAGCCTCCTCGGGTCTCGCTGGTCCTCGCGCGCTCCCCAAAGATTGATGAGTCTTGGCTCCAAGGCGAGCGGGCTTGTTTAAAGATGCATGAGGGTGGGGAGTGGAGAGGTGTGGGGGGGGCGGGGGGGGGGCAGGTCTCTGGCTCTCTCACGCTCTCTTTTCAAGGCGAGCTAAGGTTGTCCTGCCATCCTGGGCAAGGAGAGACCACCCTCACAAATTCGGGCGTGTTCACCAAAACCAGCCAGAAGCCAAAAAAAAAAAAAGAAGCACTTTTCTTTCAGCGTCGTTGAGATATTAAAAAAAAAAAAAAAAGATGTGAAATGCCACTGTCTGTTCACCAACACGACAATGAGACGGGAAAAAAATGTCCTTGTTCATTTATGAAAGGTAAACATTTTTGGGGTTGGTTTTGAAATCGATTTTTTGGACGCTGGTTGCACTGAATACATTCATTGAAATGACATCCTTTCAGAATTGATTACGCACTACATATTATGACCGTATTTTCTGTCGGAATAAAAAGACGAGCAAACCGGCTTAAAAAGGAATTCAGGCGCAGGGGGTGGGGGGTGGGGGGGTCCCTATCCAAATGACTAGCTCCGGCCCTGGACTGAGCCAGCCCGAGTGGGATCGTGAGCGGCCGGTGCATGAAAATGATCGAGGCTCCTCGTGTCAACGTGCGCCCATCGCATCGTTCGTCGCGGCCGCGTTCTCCCTCGGCATCGGGGCTCGTGCGGCCGGCTTGGACAACGCCGCGTCTGCAGTTGACGTGTGGTCAAACGCGTCGCAATTATTTGCCAACTATTCTGGCCGCTTTGGAGCAATCTGAGCCATCATGAGGGTTTTTTGTTTTTTTTTCCGAATCTCTATTTGTCACCGTGGTAACTCAATTCAACTCAACAGTATTTCTAGAACACCTTCAAACAATGATCGCCATACGCCCGACGTAGGCGCGGAGAAACTCGGAGAGCAAAATGAGACGGGGTTATTTCAAGATTTAATTCGCAAATCGGAGGATCTTCGAAAGAACTCGCAAATGAGCCAGTGAAGGGATGTCAGAGTAGGACCGACGTGCTCCCTCTTGATACGAGTACTGGAGACGCGTCGCGGAGGATTGCCACAAATTCGTCCGTCGACACAACATTCATTCAAGTCTCCTTCTAAACAACCATGACGCATTTTCGTGAGACAAGATAAGTTGTCGCAATCGCCATTTTCAATTGGAGCCATTATCAGAATAATAATACCGTATGAATGGCGGTTGGTAGTCCCGTGATTTTGCATCTCAATTGTGTTCTATATTGGGGGGGGTTGTTCTACTTTCGGCCACTAGACGGCAGCACACTCTTGTGCTTGACAGTGTACATTTGAAATGAGAGAAGAGATCTTTGCCGAGATGAGTGAATTCCTCACTGCTTCCCCCATCCTGCGTTTTAGGCCGACAAAACCACCAGCTCGAGGTTCATTGGACAGTTGAAGAAATAGGCACATACCTTCTTTCTCAGCCCGGAATATGAAGGTCCGAAGCGAGGTGATGACCTCAAACTTGTTGTCGCCGAGAGCCCGCACCTGCCGGATGGCAGTGGCCGCAATCATCCCCTTGGAGTACATTTCCTGCACAGAGGAAACACCCGAGACCTTCACAAATGCAAGCAAACGTGGCAAATTGGAAGAGCGCGAACTAGCCGTTTTCTCTCGCTACTTGGATTCGATTGTTTTTTTTGGGGGGGGGGGGGGCATAGTTTGCATCAGTGGATGTGTAATTGTCGGCCGCACTGCTGTCGGTTTGGGGTCGGATTCCATTTTGACGAATCTCCTCATCAAACTCAAGCCACGAGCCATCAATACGGCATCGTATTGATTTACAGAAAATGCCTTCGCTGTTTGCCTCCCAACCAATCACGTTGATGAAAAGGCGCCCGGCTCCCGCGTGAGAAGCGCTTGAATCAAAATGCACTGCCAGAGAAAGATGACTTTATTAGCTGTGATGAGTTCTTTTCTATTCATTTATTTATTTATTTATTCCCCCCCCCCCGCCGCGGCCGCAGAACGAGAAGGTTTTCATGGATTTCCAGTGGCCCACAGGATAAAACCACAATTACACCAATTTTTTTGTTGAAGGGTGAACCTTGTGACTGTTTTTTTTTTTTGTTTGATTTAATCAATTTTCAGACACTTTTTCATGGAATTCACACAGCTGACTTCCTGTTTCCGTTTGAGCATGAAGACTTTTTTTGTGTGTCCTGTTGTGATTGGCATGTCCACCCACCAAATTTGTGACTTATTTGGTGTCCGTGTCTAAATCCTTCAAATTTTCCAGCGGGGAGGCTTGTTTGGACTTACATTTTCTTTGTTATTTTTTTTTTCTTTTACGGATACACGCTTTTTCCAAAAGCGGTGAATTTTCCGACATGACCGGCGCCCCAAATTTGTGGAAAAATAACAACCAAAAACTGTCACGTTGAAAGCCACTTTCTTCTCAGTCTGCACTGCACAACTGAACAAAAAGCTGAAGACGCAGCATGAGTAAAGTGGGACTTGGTGTCGTGTTTGGTGTTTTTCTTCCCGATAAAGGCATCCAAACAAGCAAGGACGCGACACTTTGCGGTGGGTCATCGGCGGCGCGAACGAGAGAGCTCAATACCAGGGAACATCGTTTCGAATCAGCGTTGACATCCTGACGTGACAAAGAAATGCCCTTCGGGTTTTGGGATAAAAGAAACCTAAAAGCGACGTGCATTATGTGACTCTGGCTCTGTAAAAACCGCTGACTCGTAAGAAGACAAATAAGACAGACGTTGCATTATTGATTCTCATCGTGACATTAGTGTTGTGACCAAAAAAAAAAGGGGGGGGCCATCATTTTGTTTGCTGCACACTGTCATATGTGGGTGGAAAGGAGGAACGGGAGGTGGTGGACTAGTGACTCCCTCCTGCCATTGCTTAAGTAAGCCGGTGACCTTGCCGTCCACACAACTCAAGCGGCCAAAAATATCACTCGGCACAGTCAGGAGGGGGGAGAACGAGGGAAATTTGGTTGGTGTGAGAGGCCCAAGAGGACTGAGGGAAGGAAACCGGGAGACACCAGGAGAGATCGTGCAAAAACGGGGCTCATATTCACAGCAGGATGCCAACGGTAGCAATAGCATTCACCCGTTTTGTCCTCCACAGGCTGGACAACACATTTGGAAAAAAATATATATATATAATACATATAATATGTAAAAAAAAAAAAATATATATATATATAGCCCTCGTGTTTCATTGTTTCAATGGCATCTGACCGGCAAAGCCCGTGTGGGCTCAATTTAAGTCATTCCAAGGAACGGAAAAGAGACAGGCAATTGGAAATTGGTCTTCTGTTTGTCGGCAAACACATTTCCGTCATGGGTCTCCTTCAAAGAAATGCGACCGACGGCGCGCGCGCGCATAAATGAGCTCAGTGGCTGATAATGGCGCCACCAGTTATGCTTTCACGCTAATTAATTGTCTTAATTCCAGTTTGAGGGTCAGGCAGGAGAGAGTCGTTTCATTGCGACTTGGGCATCTATAAACACTGGCGGCAAAGAGTCCGACGAAAAGACGAGGTCGGGCGAAAGAGACACCAACGCGCGCACAGCCACGCGCGGGCTACCCTCAGGAGGACAAAGAAAAGCAATGAGGCCTAACTATCTCTCTCTCTCCCCGAGATAACCCCCTCACCTGACTCGTCCACCCCCAACACGCCCAACCCTTATTTCTCCCCACGCTGACCTCCTCCCTCTCCGCCGCAGAGCCGGCTTGAGGGCGGAGGGGGACGATTTATTTTTTTTTTGGTTTTTTTTTCCTGCCTATTTGGCTCTGAACGCTCCCCTCCCCGCCCCCACAAAGAAAGTAAAAACGAGCCAGTAAACTTCACGGAACAATTAAGGCTGAGCGCTGGAGCTAAAGCACACAACAATGGAGGCGCCGTGCGGAGGGAGAAGCGGCGGAGGAGGGGGGAAGGATGGGGCTGCACCAAAAAAAAAAAAAAAAAAAAAAAGAAAGAAATAAGTCGGAAAAAAGGCACATTTGCAACGGAGGCACGAGGACACCAACTGGCCGTCAGGAAAAGCTCACTCACAATCCACGAGCGAGCTATTAAATCAAGATATATTTTTTCTCTTTTTTTTTTTACTTTTTTTGCACCAAGCTGCTCGCACCATTGGCTCCAATTAGTGTAGCGCGCGATGTTATTAGATCGAATACATATACACAAATACATAGATAGATTTTTTTTTATTATTTTTTTTTTTTACACGATACACTCCCAGGCTTCCTGCTCACGAGTTGAATTCAAAATTCTGCCTATGCAAAGAGAGCAATGTTCTCTTTCGTTTGCCAACCTCATGTAGGCAGGCATTCATTTAAAAAAAAAAAGTATTCAGGGCCCATGCGCACCCCAATCGAGTTGGGGGTTCGAGTTGCGCGCCCCTCCAATAAAGGACGATTCAAGGACGGCTCCTTTTAAAGTGGAACAATTCCGTTCTGTTCAATTGAGCGAGATTCCGATTTGCTTCGATACGGTACGACTCACAGTCACTGTCAATGGGGGGGGATTTGCCGCCAAGCTAAAACCCCGCCCACCCCGCTCGCCTCATCCCCTCATTCCCTTGAAGCCAGGCTTTGGACACACACACACACACACACAAACACGGGCGCGCACACGCGGGGCAGGCACGACGTCGCATATCGGGACCCTCGGGACTTAGCCGAAAGACCCCGAGCGTTCACCCGAGCCAATCCCCTCGTCTTGACGAAATCGGGCGAAAAGGGCCCGATCGACGGGATGGATTGGATGCAACGCGGCGATGAGACCGATGATCTCGCTCCTCTCCCACGCCACTTCGGCTACCCCCCGATGATGACATCACCGGAGACCTTTCAAGCTGCGACTGCGATTAAGTGCGATTACTTCTGTCTGGGGCTGACACATCCCGCAGGATTTCACACTACAAAAGAGAGTTTGCGGGTGTTAAAAGTTTCGGAGCGAGGACAAGCATGGCAATGTTTGTGCGCGCAGAGCCGCGCAGCAGCGAGGGCGCCGCGACGGCCGCGTCGCTTTATGACCATCGGCCAGCTTGGGCTTGACTAAACGGGGGTGAGAGACTTGAAACCCCAAAAGTCAGAAAGCGGAAGACGATAAAAGTTAGTTTCCGAAGGCATTGGTGGCGAGGTTTTTGTTCTACGTGCTGCTGCCTTTATTTGAATTTGCTGCATGGCCTCACTGAAAAACTCAGCTTCGTCTTATCTCAAATCGGCTCTCAAACTGGACTGAACGGAAAGGTTATTCATCGGTTCCGGACACGATATTCAACATGCGCCGAAAGAAATGCCATTTTTATTACCTCATGCTAGAAATAATTTTTTTTTTTTTAACATTCTTATCTCATGAAGTGTTCGTAGCGCCTCTGTATGCTCTTCTCCTATCGGACGCGGGTTGTTGTGTCTGGAACCGATTGATAGCCTTGCCATTCAGTCCAATGTGCAGAGTTGATTTGAGATAAGACTGAGCTGAGTTTTGGGTGTGGGCGTGCAACAAATTCGATTCACAGGTCAAGGTACTAATGAACCCGATGTACCCCAAAAAGTGGGACGCAAACATCCACAAAGGGCAAATCCTCCAATCATCCCCACAAGAGAGAGAGAAGGCCACCTCACGCTCTATCGAGTTGCTGACTCGCCGGCGCTCCCCCGATGATTCCCGTTCCGCCCGTGGCCAAACGTGTCCTGACAACTAAAGCGGCCGATACGACGGAAAGAAGCGGGCGTGGGAGTTGGGGTGGCGGTGCGTGAGCGGGCACAGAGGGCTGTAATTAGCAAGTGATTAACGAGGCGCCATCTGATAGGTCGCACATCATTGATTGTGATGGACTGTGGCAAAAAAAAAAAAAAAGGGAGCTGAACCTGAATGGGGGCATTGCGTTGTTTTGCCAAAATCCATTTCGAGGGATCGCGGGCCCGTTTTCTTTCTTTCGAATGAAGTTTGGGTAGAAGAGCCTTCACTTCCCCCCTCCGCCCTTTTCAGAGAAGCGGATGTATTTTTCCCCGTCTGGCTGGCTGGGCGTGGGGAGCCGCGCTCCGCCACGCTTGGCTTAAAGTCACTCCGTCCTTGCCCTCCTCCGTTCGTTAGCTCGCAACGCTAACGATGGATGAGGCGGCAAACGGGATGCGGGATATCGATTTCTTTGGCGCTCCGGCGTCCGGCGGGGGTTGAAAAGTTACCTTGTCGCTGTTGTAGTAGGCCAGCGTCTCACCGTCGAAGCGCACCCACCGCCGCTGGAAGACGCACTTCCTGCAAGAAGAGGCAAAGCGGTGAGCGGCGGCCGTCGGTCCGAGGACAAGCTCGTCGTCATGCGCTCGCAATACGCTCATCAGTTCCCCCCGCTGTGCGCCATTCGACAAGCAACAGCCCGCGATGATGAGCCTGTCAAATGTCAAGAAAAGCCGACTCCAATATCCTGCCATCCATTTTCTAATCCGCTTCCCCTCAGGGGGGGTCGCGGGCGCGCCGGAACCTGCGCCGGCTGTCTTCGGGCAAAGGGCCAGGGACACCCTGAACTGGTCGCCAGTTCGGGCAGGCTGAAAGAGCTGAGCCCGGTCGCCATTTAGACGACAAAGTTCAAGTCAATGTAAACGCCGGAATCCGTTTTATTTGGAACTGCAGCTATTTCTCCCATTTTTTGCTCGCTCGTCGGTTTGGACGTTCGTTCGCCGTCGGGCCGACCTACCCTTGAGGTGACAGCTTGTCCAGCCAGCCCATTTTCAGCACTTGAGGTTCCGCGGCGCCGTAAAAGCAGGCATACGGGGAAATATCAGGCAAACGGTCCCCGGGAGCCGCCAAAGATCGGGCGGAGAGATGGCGGTCCGCCACGATCCCCGAAGCAGGGCCAGAGTCGGGACCGGAGGCCGCCGGCCCCGCGCCGCCGTACTCTGCCGGGCTTTGCAGCAAACTTGGGAAAATGCTGGCGCACTCTTCCACCGTGGCGTATTCATCTTTGTCGAGGTCTGGGGTGGCCGCAACGGGGGGGCGCTCCTGGTCCTCGGAGCTGCGGGTCGGACAACACACGCCGCACAACGGTACGAGTTGATTTGTGCCGCACATTTCATGCACAAGACAATTAAACGCGCCTGATTGAAAAACGTTCAAAGAATTACGGAGAGATGATTGGATTAAAATGATTCAAAACCGAGTATCGGCCCAGATAAATTCAAACGGAGCGTGCAAATGGGGATTCAATCCGGAGGATAAAAGGATTGATTTGTGGGAATGCTGCCGCCAAAACAAAAGGGCCCGTTGTCAGCACTGATTTAAATCAACTGACACTTTGTCCAAAAGCGAGGAGCAGCGTAACCAAATGTGGCTTCACTTTTGGTTCTGGTCCTGGGAACACACGGCAGACCTTTACCGGAGAACCTGCAGGCTCGGGATGCTTTGCAGGCTCCCCGTGAGCACTGATTTAAATCAACTGACACTTTGTCCAAAATCTGAAGGCTCCCCGTACATCTCGCGTGTATTTTGGTCCGAGACCATTCCGAGACGGATACACCAGCAGCAAGATTTTCACGGAAGTCAGTGTCGTGATTCGAGGACAGATGTGATGAGGTCCACACTTTCCTGGTGTTTGGAAGAACTCTGGATCAGTTGCAGATACCCGCTTGATTTTATTTATTTTATTTTTTTTTTTTTAAATATGAAGACCTCAAAAGGCACCACTGAAGTCATCTAGCCTACTGGAAATATTTTTTTCTCTGTCCGGTTATTTGTAGCTTTCAGTTTTACAGTTAAGATGAGCGCCGATCTTGGACCTGGTTTGAGCAGGAGAAAATTCCACTCGTTGGTTTGATGAATACATGAACTGAATGAAAGACCGGAACTGAAATGTTAAGACGCGTGTCGACGTTGCGATATGCTCCGTTATCTTGGCGAAGGGGCAGCGTGTAGATATTAAAAAGAAGTGGATCGAGAGTGGACCCTGGCGGAACCCCGCAAGCGATCTTTGTTCGCTCGGACTCGTGCCGACCGATTTGAGACAAAGGAGTCCCTCCCTCGCAAGGAGGATGGAAGCGAGGACGGAAGAAAAAGACGTGCGATTGGATCAAGTCCTTCCGCTTGGAATGCCTTGCGTGAATTCTGTCGATTTTTATTGCTCCCCATTCTCTTGGCTAATTTGTCCCTCGACTAAAATGCTCTTCCATTTCGGCTTTGGGGGCGCATGACGACGACAGAAACGAATTTGCTCGTTTGATCTGCCACTTGGAGACGGACATGTTTACCGCAAAAACACAAACATGGTCACGAGTTATTTTTTCCTCTGAAGCCTCCTATTAATAGCGCCAGAGGAGATGAGAACATCGGCGCCTACCTGCGCTGCTTCTTTTCCAGCGTGTCCTTTGGCGCCACCTCTTCCCCACCTGGCTTCTGAAAGGACACCGAGGAGAGGAGCGTCAAATGAAAAGAAAATCTGCGGCGTTGCGCTCGGACACGGTTATCGCGTTGTTGCATTAAGCGGCGCTCGCTTTCGAGGGCAGCCGACATTTCTATTAACCTCTCGGGCAAGAGAGAAGCAAGCGCCACTCTGTTATGTGACAACATTAACGCTGTGAATTGGCGCTTTGGCCTGTGATGTTGTTAAATGGGGGGTGCGGGAGGGCACATCTGTTCCTCTTCGCTAAGCCGTTGCGTCCGCTGCACCGGTGGGAGTGGACGGCGTCTTACCGGAAGGCTTTGAGCGCCGTTGTAGAGGAAGGTCTCTCCGTAGGGAGCGATGGGCGTCAAGGTCCTGTGAAGCGGAGCTAAAAAGGGGGAGGGGGGAGGGGGGGGCACCACAAAAGGAGGAATTTGGTCAGGGTGCTGAATGGACAGACAAGTCAGTCGAATTGTCGATTTTTCCGACATCTTTTACTCCCTACGTTTGACAACCTGAAACGCGATTTTCTCCTTTGAGCAAACACGTTGCACATTTGTCGCCAATATTATCCCACATCATTTTTCAACGTCATGGAAAATATCATTGCGCATCTTTCTCCAGTATCACTTCACCTCTTTCCTTCCACGTTTCCGTCGTTTTCGGCACGTCGGCATTCCAAGCCATTTTTTTTTCCAACAATTGTCTTTTCTACTAATTTGGAGGGATACTGCTTGATATGTACTGAAGTCATATGACTGTCGAGCACGGGTGTCAAACTCAAGGCCCGGGGGCCACATGCGGCCCGCGAAGGCAAATCGTGTCTGTCGGCTTCACGTTTCTTGCCAATTGTCTTCACTTCACAACACCGACATGTGAGATCCTGCAAGATTTTGGTTGTTGTTATTACCGATTCCCATTCGGCCCCGCCTCTGCACTTTAAGCAGCAACATGCCGACTTGATTTACTCTGCTGATCAAAATCGAGGAGTTGGATGACTGTACTTCGGCTTCAGTAGAGAGTGCGAGTACTTTTGCCACCTCTCCCAAATTCATTTGGCAACCCTTGATCCGTTGAAGCATGGGGCCGTTTCTCTGTGTGCTGTTTGCTTCTACCGAGACTGCGGTCTGTGTTTGGGGCGGGGGGGGGGGGCGGGGAAAAACA